GCCGTGATCGCCAAGTACACCTAGAGCTTGCTGCCCATTTGAAATTGAAAACATGCCCCTGCACCAGTGGAAAGTGCTTTGCTTTCAGGGTAACACACAGTGTCCAACTTTGGATTCCCTTTTGAAGAATCTGCACCTTCAGGGTGAATGCTTTCTCCAGGGTCTGCAGCCTGCCTGACCATTCTCCGCTCTCAGAAGCCAGCAAATGAAGGTTGATTTAACACATGCCTCGGCAACCCTGAGCTTGGACGGATTCCAGAAGTGATTCACAGCGTGTCCCCAAATGTGTCTGCTCTCTCCCAGTATACACCATCAGATGTCAGGCTGCTGTGCCCCTCTGGCACTTTGCCTTCTCTGGCTTCGCCTCAGTTTCATCACCCACACGGTGAGGCCGTTGTACTTAGAGACCGGCTCAGTGAGTAAGCACAGTTTGCTGTAGAAACGCAGCGAGTTAGTCACCATTAATACCGTTAACTATGAGCAGGATTTAAAGCAGGTAGGACAGAGAGTGGACCAAGCCAAGCCAATGAGGAGAGGCCTGGCCCCCAGTCTTCCTCACGCGCCAGCCAACCTCGCTTTTGCAGCATTGGCCTTGGCTCTGCTCTCGCTCCTCCTTGGGCCGTTGTCTTGCTCACCACCTCCGCCTCCAGACACTGGCTCTCTATGTAACAAATTCGAACGGGGCATGCACCACGTGGTACAGCAGTTAGGCCTAGCCCCCCCGTTTTTAGGGGTGCACAGCCTGCCGCCGCCCTCTTTGTCTTCCTTTGTGCTGCAAGTCTTCAAGGTCAGCGTGGGCCCACCTTGCCTCTGCAGTATGACCCCCTCCCTTCTAGCCAGGTGACTGAGGAAGAGGGAGGGAAAGTAGCGTTTCAAAGGTCAGAGTGGACTCCGCCCTGGAGCTCCTTTCCATCAGCGCACTCTGTCCCTAGCAAGGAGCTCTTGGGAAGAGAGGCCACTTCCTCTTGGCAGCTACTTTTATGCTGCTCCTCGGGTGCACAGTGGACACAGTCACGATTCCCACCCATCCCAAACCAGAGAGACCAGTACTTTGGGCCCAGTAGACACCTGAGTGTCTCACAAGCAGCGTAATCATTTCAATTTGCTTTCCATTGATGTAGCCCCAGTCCCAACACCACTAGCCTCACACACACGTACACACGCAGGCAGGTATGCATGCACGCAGGCACGCACTCACACGCGTGCAACTGACATGAACTCCGATTTACCTGCCCAGGTGTCCTCACACACGCTGCTCTGTTTCTAGATATTGACGAATGCCGGGAGATTCCAGGAGTCTGTGAAAATGGAGTGTGTATCAACATGGTTGGTAGCTTCAGATGCGAGTGTCCAGTGGGGTTTTTCTATAATGACAAGTTACTGGTTTGTGAAGGTAAGTGGGTTGTGATTGTGCCCCTGCCCTGAAATGAACTGATGAGCTGGTTGTCCGCCCACCTGGGGCACATTTCACAGCGCTGGCATTTCCGAAGCGCATCGAGCTCTAAAGCCGGTGAGGGACAGGCTGTGGAATGACATGAAACTTCATGCAAAAAAGTTCCTCCGGTCCCCGTGGAATAGCCAGGACGTGCGTCCCCCGCCCCACCCACACCCTGCACAGTGTGTGTTAGATTTCCCAGCTGATAGGGAAAAGCCTGGCGTCCCTGGTGTGTCCCCTAGATGGCTTTTGTTTCCCTTGACTCGAAAGCAAACATGGGTGGCGGGCGGTCATCTGTAGTGGACGCTCAAATCCGAGCGTCTCTTCCGAGAAGCTGCTCCCACGCGAAAATGAGGTTAATGCCAATACTCCAAACACATGGGAGGATTCCAAATGGCACAAGCAGCAAATCTGATTTTACGTGAAGAGTGCTGGCATGGGTGCAAGTGGTCCCGGTTTGTCGTTTTCAAATGACCCTTCCCACTGCCATGTCTAGGCGCTGTGAGGCTGAGCTTTCCTCATCACACTTCTTAGTTTTCCCTACATCTGGATAGTGCTTATTTTATTTAGTAAAAGGGACACTACTGGGTAATAAATATAGCACGTGCCCAGGGAGAGCTGGTATGTTTTTCCATTCAACACCTAACCTTGGAGTTGATTACCCATTAGAACAATGTATCATAGCATATATGTCAACATTTTCATGTTGAAGGACCTTTTGTACCTAAACTGGGAATACCTTGTTGTCCATCAGTGAAATGATACAACCTCTCCTTACTCATCGGCATGATTAGGTTCCAAAGATCAGGATATCATGCAAAAGTCAGCATTAAGTGAAAATGGAGGATGATCACATCACGTCATCTCAACAATAGCCCCTCTCTGTACTGTGAACATCTAGAAGACCCCTTGCTGAGGTTACCTGCCACCAGTGCCTTCCCCTGCCACCTGTTGCCTCTGGAGACCTCAGCCACTGGCACCCAAGGAAAAGACCACCCAGTCTCCCAGGGCTGTCCTGTCCCTACCGACCCCACTTCCTACAGATCTACTCTGCTCTTTACCCCACTAATCAGGGAAACTCCCTGCTCTTCCCTTCTGGCCAGAAAATAGTATGCGATACAAATGTCCTGTCTCCGTACACGTGGGGCCCATTGGTTGGGAAATTCTGCATTTATTATTGTCAGTCCTATGTCCACGATTATGCAAAACAGGTAGAATCTTTTTTTATTTAACTTTTGTTGTAAATGCAACATGCTGCATAGCAAGATAGTCAGGGAGGAGTAAGTGTAGTCCTAATCACATTTTTGTTGAATGCTCCTTAGCCAACATTTTGGTTGTTACTGTAGCCAAGCCAGTGCATGTCCCTGGCTCTGTCTGCCGTGTGGGTTAGTAGGAACAGGGTGATAGCCATTTGGAGCCTTTTGGAGAACACAGTCCACTCAGACATTGGCCTTAGTCCGTATTCTTGAGGAGACGAAAATCAGCCGAGTGGAGAGGAAGCACAACATGGGGGAGACTAGGGGCCCCATGGCTGCCTTCTTCCTTTCATGCATGCCTCAGACTGCCTGCCACCATTCTGCGGGATGTCCACTTCCCCTCAGAAACTCCTCTGGTGGCTACTTTCCCCAAGCACTTACATTTATGTAAGCAGCAGCCCTTAGCCAAAGCCGTGATCGCCAAGTACACCTAGAGCTTGCTGCCCATTTGAAATTGAAAACATGCCCCTGCACCAGTGGAAAGTGCTTTGCTTTCAGGGTAACAGGCAGTGTCCAACTTTGGATTCCCTTTTGAAGAATCTGCACCTTCAGGGTGAATGCTTTCTCCAGGGTCTGCGGCCTGCCTGACCATTCTCCGCTCTCAGAAGCCAGCAAATGAAGGTTGATTTAACACATGCCTCGGCAACCCTGAACTTGGACGGATTCCAGAAGTGATTCACAGCGTGTCCCCAAATGTGTCTGCTCTCTCCCAGTATACACCATCAGATGTCAGGCTGCTGTGCCCCTGCAATGCTTGCCTACGACACCATTTCGCTTCCCCAATGACACAAGCTACCCTCCACGGTTTCTGTGTTTCCTTCCCATCTAGTGAGTGAGAGGGTGCTGGGCCCATTATAAAATGAGCCAGGGACCCTTCAGCACCACTGAGAGCATGTGAGGCATACAGAATTCCTGACCTGTATCCTGCTGTGCCCAGGGCAAGGTGCTTCAACAGGGTGCCAAGTGATTTTTATATGCATTCAAGTTTGGGGTGCTCTTCTCTGGAGACCTTCTGACCTTCCAGACAAAAGGAGCCCCATTGACTCATAAGCTTCTGGGACTTTTTGTTTAAAAAACAACAAAAAACACCCCACAGGTTAAGACTTCCTATGATATTACTCTATACCCCAATCACACCTTATCCCAGAGTCTGATGAGCATCATTAGCGTCCATACATGGTCATGAATCAAGTCCTCCTATTTATGGGGGAAAAAACTAATAAAGTGGAAGATTTAGAAAAGGGGGCTTTGAGGCTTCCATGACCTTTAGCATAGGACCAGTCAAAAGAAGGAAATGCACATTTGCTTTTACGTGAAAGGTCCCACCGATTCCATGGCAGATTCTGACCTCCTTTGACTTGATCCTCTCGTGCTTATAGATATCGACGAGTGTCAGAACGGCCCCGTGTGTCAGCGCAACGCCGAGTGCATCAACACTGCAGGCAGCTACCGCTGCGACTGTAAGCCTGGCTACCGCTTCACCTCCACCGGACAGTGCAGCGGTACGTACGTGTAGCTCACCCTGGGCTTGCTGGGCCCGCTGTGGAGCGCTGACGACTCAGCTTCAGATAACCACACTTCTTCCGAGCTGGTTCCGTCCAAGAATTCGGATCTAGATGGCTGAGCTCTATAAGGAAACGAGGCGGTGGGGAGGGATGGTGAAATGGCCAAATGCTTAAAAAAAAAAGACATATATTGTGTTCATATTTGCCTCTTTATTGCCTACCACCCCGCTGAAAATACTCCACCACCACACACTCACACTTAAGAGCTAGCGTTGGCCCAGTGGGAAATCAGCAATGCTTTCCGATCAAGACAGACTAGAGAGAGAATCCCAATCATCTTTCCCCAAATATCAGCCAAGGGAAACCGTATCGGTCACAGTACCACCTTGTCTAACCCTCAGTCTGCCACGAGGTGGCCGCAGGGCCTGGCAGCACTTTGCTTTGTTGTATGTGGTGTCTCTGAGTCAGGGCATACTAGACAGCAGCTAACAACCACCACGTGAACCACCACCACACCCATGTGACAAACTCCCCTAACCAATATTCAGGGCCCATTTATTTCCTCCCCTCCACGTGTTAGACCCCTGAGGTTGTTACCATCTCAGTCATACACCTGAAATCTAGACACTTGACGCTCTCCCAGCTGGCCCAGAAGGACCCGCATGAACCCAGTGGAGACAACCACATGTCCATCTTGCAGATGAACGATTACTCATGGAGGGCGGCACCTGTCAATAACCTGTTGTTAGCTAAATCACCGAAAGAAAATCAGAAACCCTGTCCACCGTGGGCTCATTTGGGCTGTTGTCCCCAATTGTCAGGGATGTGGTCGAAGTAAGGAGAGGCGTGGTAGCCACTTCAGTCCATGGTAAAGTTATCAAAGTGCCTAATGGTTTCTTGTTGCGATGGTTATCCAAATGAAAAGACGTGGCAGTGCAGCTAGGAGCAAAATAATATCTTAGCGTGAATTCCATGTAAGTTTTGGGGTAATTATAAGTCCCTGTACATTAAGCAAGGCAGTCAGGAAGAGCATATTATTTCGCCTCAAGCTCCTTGTGCAGGGCGTTTCCTGGATCTTTTACGCCCTTGTTAAGGAAAAAGCACCGGGACCATGCTCAGGGTTTCCTCGGCTTTCCTCGCCCACCCGTGATTAAGCGGTAGGAAGTGAACTGCTCTCTGTAGGGCATTTCACATTGTTTTATGAGACCTTGGTGGGAAGAGGGTGTAATAGCAGAACAAAAAAATCACTTTGAGTCTCCAGACTTGTTTTGTTGAACTTAGAGGAACATGTGCATGCGTTTAGCATTTTGTCAACAGAGCTGTTGTCCATTTATTAAAGGGGGGAGGGGAAGGGGAAAAAAACCAGAACAGGAAAAGCGGGACTTCTCTGATAGGAATCACAATAGCCATGGGCCACTTGGCATTGATACCACTTCCCTGTATTTTACTCTTAATTTATATTTCTTTGAGATTGGGTGAAAGAATTGCTGATAATACAGAGTGTGTCTTTTCACACCACCTCACACTCAGGCAAGAAATGGGAACGGGCTATTTATACACCAAGATGAGAAGTGTTGGCCTGCTGAAGCATAAGCTCTTTTGTATTCTCTCATACTCACATTAATCCATATGAAGCGGGTCAGGAATTACCACCGATAACTCTGGGTGGTCTTATTTGTAGCTTTAAGCTCAATTTTCCCCATTCACTGAACTTCTAAACAGAGGGGGATATGCTCGTGAGTCTTAAGATTGTTCAGCATCTAGGGTTGAAAACTTGACCCTGGGAATGGGTTCATTCGCATCTTTCTTTTCATTCTGAAGACATGTCTTTCAATGCTATCCCACACCAGGATTTTTCCAGGCATGTTGCAAAATATTTCTCTCTCCCTGTGTATAATATGAGAAGACCCAGGACTTTCTCTCCATCACAAGATTTTTATTTGAAGCCATAAATACCTCATTTGAAACCTCACATCCCAAATGGCCAAAGCACCACATTGTTGCTGAGAGACCGTAGAGAACAATATAGTATCTAAAGCCAAGAGGCTAGTTTGACCTCAGCAGCTGGACAGTTACAGTGTAGGTTACGGTTTGAAATGGTTTGACTCGCTGAACACAAGAGACAGGTCCTTCCAAAACCATTATGTGTGGTTGCCTCCCTCTCAACTGATCCAGCCTCAGAACTCATCCCTTGGGAGTGTACGGTAGAAAACCAGTTCTCTGGTTTCTATCAAAACAAAGAATTTCACAATTCAGTTCTTTAGAATTGTACTTTTCTGTTTCCCTAGTGAAACCTCAAAGACCCCATATCCTATTTTTCCTGTTTTAAAACCATCATGAGTAGGCAATGGAGGGGAAAAAATCCTGGATGAGGATTTCTTTCTAAGTAGATCCTTGATGTTCCCTTTATCTTTGTGAGACCCACCAGGCTCTCCTGCATGCTGTGGGATCCACTTCTCTCTGAAGGAGTCAAGCTTTGGGCCAACTCCATGCAGTAGGCCCGAACACATTTTTCAAAGTTAGCTCCCTCCACTGGAGCGAATTCCTCTGTCTCTCTTGGGGAACAGTTTTCTGATTTTAAATCTATTTTCTCAAACGGACATCACCGTAATTTGTTGGGTTAACCAGCATTTCTTTCTAGTCTAACAGTAGCTCCTAGTCTTCTCATTCCTGCTGCCCCATCATACTGACATTTTCAGCCTTATTTGGGACTTCTGAACAGTCCAGTGACTCAGTAGCTTTAACTGTCCCATCGATTGGGAAGAGACAATGACTCAATTGGCAGCCAGCGCACATGAAATGCAGGGATCCCTGCCTGTCTAGCACAGGAAAGGTTGCTCTGTGCATCTACCAGTGCCCATTCCCAGACTGTCTTCTCAGCAGACAGAGCAAGCACACAAGAAGTCAGGATGATTCAGCCGAGAGGAGGGCACTGCTGGTCCCTGCAGCATCTACCACAAAAATGGTCTTTTGCATTTGCTCTCTCTTAGAATTATATTTTCTCTAAGTGTAGATTCTTGAGAGCTTTAAAAAATTCGATTAGCACCAAAAGTATGTGTGCAGTTACGCCATTTGTGGATGCATGCATGAAGTTCTGTTCCCCGGGTAATCAGGTTTCAGGAGTGCAACAGAGCATCAATTGATGATCATTTATCATCTGTCAATTCATCCGGCAGAAGCAAATCAATGGTCTTTTTTCTTTTTCAAAAAATAAGAATAAAAAGGAAGCGCATCATTAGGATTCCCAAATGCAATGAGGAGCCCTGTGTGGATGTGATGAATTGGTTAGGACAGAGAAAACAGTCCTATGAAGAAGACCAAACAATGAGGTGAAGCTGTTGCAAGGGACAGTGTGGGCTACCCTTCCAGAATTTGTTTGAAACATATTTGATCCAAATTTCCAAGCGAAGCCATGACAGCTGCCTTGATTTAAGGCTCGGCTCAATAAAATAGCCCCGTTCGGGTCACAGGCAGTGTTGCTGTATAGACAAGTAATTACACAGAGCACCTTCCCCGGCTTGGGCTTCCCTCACATCCTACAAGGGAGCTTCAAAAATTTCATGGAAAAATCCCTTTCTTCTTTAATTCCATTTATCCACAGCTTTTTGAACCCCCCCCCCATTCTCCTACATTCCCACATCCTTCAGAATATGTTTTCAAAGCTGTCATCCTAGTTTACATTGTTTTTATGTGTGTGTTGTTAATTTAATCAGAATATGCCCCGTAAATAGAGGCCAATATTGACCCATTTGGGCTTTTTGTTTGTTTTACGTTTCAACAGTTTTATTAACAAATGTTTCACATATCACATGCGTCTGTGGTGTAAACATTTTAAAAGGAGCTGTTTAATCATCACAACAATAAATGTTACGTTTTCTCCATTCTTGTACTCGTTATTGTTAGCTTACCATTTCCTCAAAACCTCTGCCATCATCCTGAGAAGTTATTAATCCAGTTACTGTCACTTTAGATTTACCTGTCCTGGATTTCATATAAAGAAAAATATACCAAAAGACCCTCCCAAGCCCAACAACAATAACACACTGAAACACGGAAGAGCCTCAATCGAAAAAGGAAGAAAATAATTTTAAAAACTGGAATACATTTAGAATGGGTCCAAAAGGAGAGCAAACTATAAGGGGTTAGATTTGAACCTAACTCTACCTGCACGTATCTACGTTCACAGCTCTTCACATCCAGGGTCAAGGTCTGAGGGGATTCCCCAGAGGCTTAGTCCAGGTGGGGGCCTTACACACGGACTTGGGACTTTCATTGTCATCCAGAGCCTCCCACGCCTCAAGTGCTCAGATTTAAGCTTTCATACAGTTGTCTCCTCTGGTCTTGGAATTTCTTACAACCCTTGGGACACACAGACGAGTGTGCTTCTTCCGTGTGCACTTAGCTGACACCTAACAACACAAGATTTAAGACCCTAGAATCAGGGGTCCTCAAACTACGGCCCGCGGGCCACATGCGGCCCACTGAGGACATTTATCCAGCCCGCCGGGTGTTTTTTTCCCCCTTTTGTTTTTTAACTTCAAAATAAGATATGTACAGTGTGCATAGGAATTTGTTCATAGTTTTGTTTTTCTAACTATAGTCCGTCCCTCCAACGGGTCTGAGGGACAGTGAACTGGCCCCCTGTTTAAAAAGTTTGAGGACCCCTGCCCTAGATGCTATTCTTACTGGTAGCTGAATTTTGACCCATTTTGAGACAAAAAGAATAAAATATTTGTGTCTGTTTTGTTAGGTTAAATCTCATTTAACCTGAGTATACTTGCAAGTAAGTCATCCAATTCGAGTTTTCCTCCTAGGTTTCCACGTACCTACTTACGATGCTTTTATTTACAGATCGCAATGAATGCCAAGAAATCCCCAACATCTGCAGCCATGGGCAGTGTATTGACACAGTTGGAAGCTTCTATTGCCTGTGCCACACAGGCTTTAAAACAAATGATGACCAAACCATGTGTTTGGGTGAGTATATGACGGTCATTTTATTTTTTCTTTACAATCTATTGAAAACTCCATTTGCATCTGAATAGATGTAAGATTTCATAAAAGCCCCTCAGTAGTTGCTGTTCCATTTACAGATAGAAAAACCGACAAGAAGTGTACAGCCTTAACCTCTGTTGGCACACCTTTTGGATCAGGTGACCACAACAAGCACCTTCCTTCATAATCATGTGGCTGTCACTCCCCTTCCCACAGCAAAAAAAAAAAAAGCTTTAATAAAGGAGAAAGATAATAAGGTCAAATTTTAATTTTAATGATTGTGAAAAGTGTATTAACCTTTTCAATTATTTACCACAAAATGTGGATAAACCTGATTGTGCCTTGAAACAGAGTTTATCCTTTGAGTGAGTGTGATTATGAGCACTTTTCCAGAAGGGTCTATAATTTGTACCAATTTCTCAAAGAAAAATTTACATTTAAAAAGCCAGTAAAGATTAGGAGTCTTTTCCTTCGGGTTCAA